CAAAACCCCCCCCCCCTCGCCTTTCCTGTGTTTTTACAAGTGCACTCCTCTGCACTGACCCACGGAGACCTGTCCTAGCTCTCTGCCTCGGTTTCTCCTATGGGCGGGTGGAGTGCCAGGTCTGCTGGGTGTCTCCTTGGAATTCTGGGAAGGGAAGCATTATAGCTGAAGTTGGACAGAAGCTCGGAAGAGAAGCCGTACAAGGAGGGGAACCTAGAGACCCGCGGCCGCCGAGGAAGGTGACCTAAAGGGAGGGTGGCAGGGGGACAGGCGTGCACCTCAGCATCTCCAGGCCCCACGCGCAGGCTGTGCTGGTGGGCAGGGGTGGGCGCATGGGATAGAGTGACCTGCCTTATGCCCAGCCCTGCCTTCTTGGCTCATCTTGACTTTTTGGGGGGGATGACGGTCACAGCCCATCACCCTCCCTAGACTGTGCCAGGGACATTCTTCCACAAACAAACAAAACAAGAAGTGACACCAGTTACCTATGAGCCCCTATTTGACACCCTTGCCCTCCTCGCTGGAGAGCTGACCCACCCCAGATGGGAGAGGGGTGAGGGCGAGGGTGGGAGCCTGAGCCGCCTAGTCCCTCCCTCTCCCAGGCGCTTCCTCTGCAGCCTGCTCACCATGGTACCCCGGCCAGGATGCTGCCAAGGGCTCTGTGCCAGAGCAGAGGCTGAGCCTGGGGCTTGGGGGAGGGGGCTGGGGACCCTCTGGGCCAGCGCTCTCTGTAAGCCTGGAGCCCCTTGCCTGCTCTAGGAGAGCCCAACCCTCCCGGGAGAGGAAGGACTAGCTCTGCTGGGTGGGAGATGTGGGGGAGGGCGCCGGATCTGCCCCGCTCAGGGGCCCAGGGCCGCACAATAGCCCCTGGGGCTGCCACTCTCTGGCTTAAGAGGTTGCCTGGGCAACAGCTGGGGCCAGTCTCCACCAATCCATGGCAGAGGCTGGGTGGGGGAGGGAGGCTGGTCCGGAAGGGGGTGCCATCCCCTTGTACTCAGTCCTATATAAGGAGGAGGGGTGTGAGAGGAGTGGTCTGGCTTCGCTGTCCCTTCAGTGCACGTGGGGGAGGGGCACAAAGATGCTGAGGCTGGGCCGCACCAAGCGTGGGCCCTGGGGCACCTTCTGGGCCATCCTGACCTTGGTGGGCCTGGCCACGCGTGCAGGTGAGTGGGCAGTGGGTGGGGCGGAGTGGGGGACAGGGAGGAGGGGCAGGACCTTCCGGCCCTAGCTGCACAGTGGCAGGAGGGGGTGGGGTCCAGCCCACCAGGAGGAGCACAGAGTCCTTCAGTCTGGGGGGAGGGCAGCCTGCCTGAGAGGGGAGGAGGGGCTGGCCGGTGGGCGGGGTCCGAACACAAGCAGACCCTTCCATGCCCACTGTCCCAGGCAGCTGGCCCAGTCAGAGGCCGAAGGGATGCCATCAGCATTCAAGTCCTTCAAAGTGACAGCTTGGGAGGCGGGGCTGGGAAACGAACCCACTCCTTTGTCACCTCCCGTTCTCCCTCTGTCTCCCCTTCCTTACACACTGCTCTCCTGTGAGCCTTCGCTCCGATTTCACACGGGCTGCGGGCCTGTTGGGGGGCGGGGGTGGAGAGGGAGGGCAGGTGCCCATCTACTGCAGTCGGATGCCCTCCTTGCCTCCCTGGAAGGCCCCTCACCCCCCTCTCGGCTTGGGGAAGCTGCTGGCAGCATTATCTGTTGCCGAGTTTCCTGTAAATGAGTGCATGTCCCCATCTGACCCTCATGGCGTCCCTGGAAACACAACAGTAGGGCTCAGCCCGGAAGGGGGATGCCAGCCCCCACCCGCAGGTACCGCGAGAGTCCCACGCCAGCACGCCAGCACCGGCTCAGCCTCTGCACTGTCTCTGGTCCCCGGCAGGCCA